ATTAGTGGATTTTTCAATGCCCTGGAAGGAATTGAGCAACCAGTTAAAAATGTTTCTGGGCCTGGGGAAATCCGTTGCAGCTACTGTGGAATAGGGGCCCACCAGAATGGCTCAGGAACACCGTAAGACCTTTCCCAGTGAGTTCCTGCTTGCTGCTGAAATCTTTGCTGGGTCAACAGGAGTCCTTTCTCAGTTGGATCTTCTGAAACGAGACCAGTTGGGTCGTGGGGGGAAAGAAAACACATGTGAGTGCCACACTCACACTGAGTGTATGAACACAGGCGCAGACAGTGCATCTGTGCAAACCTGGCACCCTTGTGCCAGTTTGGTGTCACGTCCTGCTATCCCCCTGCCTGCATACGTGGGCACAGGCATAGGTGACACACCTGCACACCCTCACACCCCCACATCCACACACTTTTCTGTGGGCTTTTGCTGCCATGTGGCCCACAGATGAACATATGCATGATGCAAACGCACACGCGCGGGTTCCTGTGCCAAGGCACATGGGCCACACGTGTGCTACGGACGCAGCCCTGCCCAGCCCCAGTGGGAGCTGGTGGCCACATGCTCCTTTGAAATGAGCTGTCAGAGCCATTTGGAGTTGATGGTTTCCTCATTCCTTGGTGTACTTGGCCACGTCGGCAGAGCCCGTCTGCAGGACATGGCTGTGCCCCAAGATGAGGAGAGAGGAGCTGCTGCCACTCCCTCTGGGGGTGGTGGGAAGGGCTGGACATGAGTACAACCTGGGGCTCCCCGACCTTATCCAGCCATGGTTCTGTGCTACCTGTCACAGTCAGACCCACAGCACATAGCGCCGTGCCCTGAGCCAGCCCTTCGCAGCACAGCTCTCTCCTTCCTCCCTCTCCTCTTCTTCCTCCTTGGCTGCCTCCAGCACTGCATCCCACCTTGCAGATGTCCCTTCTGCTGGCAGTGGTACCTGCTGCTGCCCCAGCTGTGCTGGGCAGGAGGTGGGGGTGATGGGCAGCACGTGGGTTGGGGCACCAACGTACACTGAGTGTGTGTAACGTGGTGGTTCGTGCTGAAGGCCATGCCAGGGAGTGCTGCAGGCACTGGGGTGGATGGGGGTGTGCTGGGCCTTCCTGCCTCAGTTTCCCCATGTTCCAAATGGAACCGTATCATGTTTGCTGATGTTTAAGAGAGTGCTGAGAGAGCTCTGTTGAGAAAGGAGCAGCTGGGGAGGCTGAGGGGTCCGGGAGAGCTGCCCAAGGACAGCAGAGGGCATGGGCAAGGGAGACCCAGCCTGGCACAGGGACAAGTGACTGGGGCAGTGGGACTTGGTGGCCCCAGTGCGGGGCTCGGGGACAGTGGCTGCATCTCAGGGTGCCCTCTGCATGGTTGGAATGAGGCACAGGGCCAGAGTCAGCACCCTCTTCCCTCTATAACAGCAGGATGGACAGAGCCTGTGAGAGCAGTGGGAGCTGCTGAGGATCTGCAGGCTGGGCCAGAGCTGGGGCGGGAGAGACGCCAGTCCCTGAGCCTGCGGCCCCGGTGGAGAGGGGAACGCTGTGGGACACATCCCAGCCGTAGCTGCCTGGCCGAGACTGGGTGTCCAACTGACCCCACCACAGCACAGGCTGAGCCTTCTCTGCTGCTCCACGTTTCAGCAGCTGGAAACATCTGGCTATGCAAGCTTGCTAAATCGATGCAGGGAGGAATCCAGCGTGCTCCTGCTGTTCCCACACTCCAGCCTCTCCCAACAGCTTGGGTTTCGACTCAGCTTCCGCATGTGGTGACTTGGCCAGCCCTGAGCCAGCCCCCAGGCCCCTGCTGTCCCTGGGGAACAGGCTGCAGAGACCTGGAGTCACTGCCTGGCCAGCACTATGGGGACAGACAGTGGCACTTCAGTGCTCGCAGTGGGATGTGTGCCAGAGGTGGGTGAGCAGCTCCTCCAGTCCCAGTTTGGCCCTTTCCTGCATGAGAGCTGGTGCTTTTCCTGGAGTCCAGGGTGACCTGGACTGCCACCCAAAAACTGGGGTCGTGTCATCCAGGCATGGATGGCCAGTGGTGTCATAGGGTGAAGCTGGGGATGCAGGTCAGTGCCACTGCCCTGAAACACCTGTCCCTGAGCCCTGGGATGCTGTTGCTCCCCGTGAGTGCCCCAGCTGCAGAGCGGTGCAGAGGAGGTGGCACCCCTGTGCTGGCCCCTCAGTCGGGGCAGCTGGGGACACAGTGCAGGCTCGCCCCACTGCTCCTTGGATGGGGCTGTCTGTAGCAGCCCTGCTGGCAGCGGCGCCCGGGGAGGAGGCAGCGCCAGGCCCCAGCGCTGGCTCAGTGCCTGGGGAATGGCTGCGGGTGGCCATGGGGGAGGCAGTCGGGCTTTTGGGAGGGAGCCATGCCCGGGAGGAGCACACTGTCGAGCTGGCAGGGGGTGAGAGCCACTGCTGGCGCCAGGGGACAGCAGTGGCTCTCCATCCCATCGAGGTCTGTCCTGCCCTGGCGTGCAGGGCCACGGCTCTGCTGGGGTGTGCGTGCTGCCTTCTCTGGCTGTGGAAGCTGGGCGCTGGGTGACAGCACCCACCAAATGGGGCCAGGGGGAAGGAGCTAAGGGTGCTGAGTCCTTCCCTGGGGACACTGGTGGTTCTTTTATTGCTTTTCCTTGAGGTTCACATGTGTGTCCCCTCCCAAATCTCCCACTGCCCTACAGACTGCAGTGTGACGGCTGTGGACTTGGATGCAGGCTCCTGCCCCGTCATTTCAAGTCTGAAAATCCATCTTTCCAGGCAACCCAGGCAGGGTCTGACAGCTTTGAGGTGCCAATATGACCTTTTCTGCCTGCCCCACCAGAGTGGCACAGTGTCCCCTTGTCCTTAGCTGAAGAGTGGGGTGGGTGCTGCCTCCAGCACTGAGGGCCTATTGAGCCTCCCCTGTGCCCTGGCTCCGGGTGTGCAGCCACCTCAGCTCCATCATTCTGCCCAGACTGCCTGTGCATCCCCATCCTATGGCTCTGGGGACCAGCTGGAGCCTCCGTGCCTTTGATTGACTCCTCCAACGTGCATGGGCCACAGTGGAGATTTAGTAATGAGTTAATAATGACTAGTGTCCTGCTGAGCCTGGGTCTGGGGGCTGGACTGGGGTGATCAGACACATGCAGGGCTGGGTGTCCTTAAGTGATGGAGTGTGGGTGCCCTGTGGGCTCACCAGCCCTTTTACCTCTTCCACAACTGGCTTTAACCTGGTTGATTGAACCTGTCTCATCAGGGCTCTTCCTGCTTGTCACACCCTTCCAGGCTCATGTGTGTATTGGAGCCGCTTCACTGGTCTGAGGCGCTCCTGCCCAGGCCAGTGGGTGACTGAGCCCGGGGGTGGGGCAGCATCACCCATGGGCACTGCCTGTGGCATGGCCGGTGTGTGATGAGGACAAGGGGCACGAGCCCTGCTTGAGCGCTACTGTGTGGCTGTGCCGTTGTGGGGAGCTGCCAGGGTGTTCCTCTGTGTGCCATCAGTGTCCCCCATCCCCGTGTCCCTGCAGCCGGGGTGTGTGCCAATGGTGTCCGGTGTCCTTGTGTACCTGTAGCTGAGGTGTGTGCCGGTGGTGTCCCCCATCCCTGTGTCCCTGCAGCCAAGGGTGTGCCATTGGTGTCCCCTGTCCCTGTGTCCCTGCAGCCAAGGGGTGTGCCATTGATGTCCCCCGTCCCTGTGTCCCTGTAGCTGGGATGTGTGCTGGTAGTGTCCCCTGTCCCCGTGTCCCTGCAGCCGGGGTGTGTGCCATCAGAGTCCCCTGTTCCTATCAGCCAGGATGTGTGCCAGTGGTGTTCCCTGTCCCTGTGTCCCTGCAGCCAGGATGTGTGCCAGTGGTGTTCCCTGTCCCTGTATCCCTGCAGCCAGGATGTGTGCCAGTGGTGTTCCCTGTCCCTGTATCCCTGTGTCTGGGGTGTGTGCCGGCAGTGTCCCCAGTCCTTGTGTCGCTGCAGCTCATACTGTGCCGTTGCAAATCCCGAAGCACTGGTTGCCACGTTACATTAGGAGGAGCCACATCCCGTGTCCCTGGCGCCCACTGTCACTGCGGATCCATGGCAGGCTGCAGCTGAAAGGCCTGAAATCGGGATCAAAGCCGCAGTGGCATGGCTGTTAGCGCCCAGGGTGCACGCGGGTGGGGCAGGGCATGGGACTGGAGCCATGGCCCTGAGCCCACTGCCAGGGCGGTGTCTGGAGTGACCCCCCTCCTCTGTGCGGGTGTCTGTGTTCACACACACCTGTGCAGGTGTCTCTGGGAGGTGTGCACACGCTTGTGTGTGCAGGTGTGTATGCACATGTATGTGAGTGTGCCTGTGTGTATCTGCACGTGTGTGCACAAGTGGTTGTGGTGCAGGTACGTGCGTGTGCACATGTGTATTTTGGGGGGTACATGCCTGTGTGTATGTGTGCACACCTGTGCTGTGGGTCTGCACACCTGGAGAAGCTCCAGGGCAGCCAGAGCTAGGGGGTTCCCAGCCCTGGGCTGTGCCCATGGGGGGCTCAGTCCCACCAGCTGCCCCAGCCCTCTGCAGAAGCAGCCACCCCTCTGTGAGTGAGGCCCTGTGTCCTCCACTCCCCTTGGTCCTGCTGTACCCATGTCCCCAGGCTGGAGCACCCCCATCACCTGGGTGACACAGGGGCAGTTTTGGGGACATTTCTTTCAAGACTGTTGCTCCTGCATGGCCCCATGGAGCAGGGTTACAGTGCTTCAGGGTCATCTGTCTGTAGTTGGCCTCCTGTCACCTCTGTGGGTCCTGTGGCTCCACTTGGTCTCCACCAGCTTATCCTTTCCAGACTGGACATCCCTATCCCAGCTGCACACTTGGGAGTAGCCTTTTGGTGTGGTGCAGCTCCAGTCCGGTGTCAGCCTTGCCCTGTTCCCTCCTGGTGGACAGAGCCAGGGCCGATGGGCATGGCCATGGGCAAAAGCCATCTGTCCATCCATCCATCCATCCATCCATCCATCCATCCATCCATCTATCCCTCCTTCCCTTTAAAGCCATCACCTTGTCTGTCCACAGACCCCGAGTCCCAGAGGAAGAGGACAGTGCAGAATGTGCTGGACCTTCGGCAGAACCTGGAGGAGACCATGTCCAGCTTGAGGGGCTCTCAGGTGTCTCACAGGTGAGGCTCCAACACTGGACTCCCACCACCCCTTCCCTATAATCAGTGTCCTCCCCGGGGCAGCTGGGAAGCAGTTCTGCTCCTGGTGAGGGCCATGTGGATGGGAGGGAATCAGCTGTGCCCTGTGTCCTGAGGACCCTGTGCATGGAGGCTTGGAGAGAAGCCCCTAAATCCGTGGGGTGTGTCAGAGCCCTGTCCCTGACACTGCTCTGGGACATTGGGAATTGGGGGGTGGTGGCAACGAGCGGAGCTGACAGGGCAGAGAGAGGTAGATGTGTTCCCAGTGGTTGGGTAACCCCAAGTGGACCACCAGAGGTAAGGGTATCCCCTGTGCCCACTCAGGTTTGGACCAGAGGCTCTATCCCCATCCCTGACTCAGTTTCTCTGCACTGTGTAGGGAGAACCCTCAGCCAGAGCCCAGGAGCAGAGGTGGGATACCCTGGGGTGCCCTGCCCAGACTGGGACCAGGGGATGGCAGTGCTGGGGACAGGGTGAGCAGTGTGTGGGGAACCAGAGCACAGTGTGTGTGCTCAGGGTTCTCTGACCACACCTGGGACTGCCTGTGTCCCCCCGGGTCTCTCACTTGAGCCCCCCAGGGTTTCTGCTCCTCTCTGGATTTGCAGAGGCTGTGTGGGCGGCAGACGGTTGGGAAAGTGAGGATGTGGGAACATCCTTCTCCTAGAGTGTGTTGCCACCTCGTGGTCTCCCTCGATCCTGAATTTTGTCTTGGGAGGGACAAAAAGCTGCAGCTTCTTCCCACCCTTCAGCCCCCTCTCACCATTACAGACCTTCCTGTGTCACCCCTCAAACAGCCTGGCCCAGGATGAAGGAGCCCCTTCATCTCCCTTTTCATCACCCAGAATTTCTAGATCTTTGCTCATCCTTGCTGCACTTCCCAGATCTTTTCTGAGCCAGGAGCAGCAGAGCACTGGGGTGGTGGTATTTGCATTTGGCCATAACAGTATTCCCTGAGCTGGCCATTTGCTGGGATTGTCCATTACAGCTCTGCCATCCCTTTGCTTGGCACAGGAGCTGGGTCAGAGCCTGGCACTGCCCACACTGAGCCAGGCCTGTGTCGTGTTCACCTTCATCGGTTTCAAACTTCACCCCCCTCCTTTGGAAATCCTTCATCAGCTCGGGTCTTAGGGAAATAGGGCAAGGATATTAAGGGTGATTAAATTAGCATTGCTGGTGGGATTTGACTCTTCACTCTCACTTCCTTTCCTTGATGAGCTCTGAATACATCACGTGGTGGAGGCCTCAGCTGCATCCCTGCCACAGACTAAAATGGGTATGGATAGCCCAGGGATCCCTACCCCTGCACTCTGTCCCTTTCAGCAGGACTTAAATATGTGAGGATCTTCCCTCTTATCCCATGGTGGCTGAATTTATTTGGAAGCTTTATTTTATTCCGGTAGCCCACAGCAGCCTCGGCAGCTCCCTGCATTCCTCCAGGAGCTTGCCCGTGGCTGTGAGCCAGACTTTCCTTTCCTAAAACTGTGTCAGCTCTTCCCTGGTACCTTGTAATTACACACATACCCACTCATTCTGCTCTTGAGAACACTTCCTACAAGTCTGTCCAATACAGATGTCATCTGCCATCCTCTGGATATGCCTGCATCACCAGTGTGCTGTAGCCACTTTGGGCTCTCTCTTTATTCCTTCCACAAACTATTCCTCAAATTTCTCTTGTTCTCCTCACTGTGTTCTTCCATCCAGTGGTTTTGCTCTTCCCTCGCTAGGATGCAAGTTGATTCCTGAAAGACGTCACTGTGTTCCTGGCAGTCTTTGCACCCAGCTGCAGGGCTGTATGAGCTTCTCAGAGGCTTAGAGAATCATGGAATCACAGGATCATTTAGGTTGGAAAAGGCCTCTAAGACCATCGAGTCCAGCTGTTCCCCTAGCACTGCCATGTTTACCATTAAACCATGTCCCCAAGTGCAACATCCACACGTGTTTTGAACACTTCCAGGAATGGTGACTCCACCACTGCCCTGGGCAGCCTGGGCCAGGGCCTGACCAGCCTTTCTGTGAAGAAATTTTCCCAGTATCCAACCTGAACCTCCCCTGGCATAACTTGAGGCTGTTTCCTCTCATCCTGTCCCTTGTTCCCTGGGACCAGAGCCCAACCCTCACCTGGCTCCACCCTCCTGTCAGGGAGTTGCAGAGAGCAAGAAGGTCCCCCTTGAGCCTCCTTTTCTCCAAGCTGAGCCCCCTCAACTCCCTCAGCTGCTTCTGCTGCTCCAGCTCCTTCCCCAGCTCAGTTGCCCTTTGCTGGACACACTCCAGCCCCTCAACATCTTTCTTGTCATGAGTGGCCCAGAACTGAACCCAGGATTCGAGGTGAGGCTTCTGTTCCTCCTGCTCAGAGATGTGGTTGGCATCTGCTCTGAGCTGCCAGCAGCACATCCTTTGTGCTACCAACAAAAACAAACCCCTTTTAGCTGCCCCTTTTAGTTCCACTTTGACAAACTTCCTCATTTTTTTCTGTAGTTCCCTGTTTTAGATTCAATGCTGCAGCCAGGGTTTGGCTTTGGGTGCTCCTGCAGGAACGTTTAATCCAAGCTAGGGAATAATTTGCTGATAGTAGCGTTTGGAGCCAATTTGAGGGCTGTGGGTTCCCAAGAAGCTGCTCCAAGAAGTAATCATTTTTGGTGCCTAAATTTAGTCTCAGCATCACTGTTTGCCCAAAATATATCCCGAAGGGTGTGGGGAGTGATGAAACTCCCTGTTCCTGAAGCACTCATGGGCTCTGGGATGGCTGAAGAGCACTACGTTTGTGGGCAGCCCCTGGGGCCGGGCAGTCCTGTCTTGGGGAGTCCCCTCCGGCCCAGATGTGGTGGTTCACTCTCCATAGGGTCAGTGTGAGATGCTGCTGCAGGGACCTGGTCCCCGGTTTGTCCCTCGGCAACCTTCTGCTCACAGCCTCCGTTCCCTGGCATGTCCCACTGCCACATCCCCTGGGATCGCTGCTGCCACCCCAACTCGTCCTGTCCTGTGGGTCTGGAGTGATATTTGGATGCAGATGTTGAAGTGCTGGGAGGGAAGTGGCCGAGGAGGAGCAGCCCAGGCACAGGGAAGCATGTCTGGGCTTTCCACTGAAGGTGTCCTATTATTGGGGTTCAGCACAGCTGGGGTTCAGGGCCAGGGCTGGTCTCTGGGATGGTGCTGACCCCTCTCCCAGGTGTGTTTGCTGCCAGCCCTGGTGGCACCCCTGGCCCTGCTCTGAAGTGGGTGGGCAGAGCCGTGGTGGAGTATTGTCTTTGTGGGGTGACTGGGGCTGTGGGGAGGCACAAAGCCCCCATCACACCTCCTATCCTGCTCCACTGTCCCTGGGGAGACAAGGGAACCACTAGACACTGGTGCTGTGGATGTCCCAGTGGGTCTTGAAGTGGGGGACACTGGGCTGGCACCAGGCAGGCTAGGAGGGGACCAGCTGAGATGAAGGGGCCCAGGCCAGTGTCCCTGTGCCCACACTGCTGGCCTTGCCTGGCTGCCTCAAAGTGGGCAGTTTTGGTTTCTGAGCACTTGCAGCTCCAGTTTGGGGGGGGGTGAGGCAGGGCACAGACCTCCATTTCCCCCCATGCCCTGCCCTAACACCCCGCCCCCCCATCCTCGCAGCTCCCTGGAGATGACCTGCTACGACAGCGACGAAGCCAACCCCCGGAGCGTCTCCAGCCTCTCCAACCGCTCCTCCCCGCTGTCCTGGCGCTATGGGCAGTCGAGCCCGCGCCTGCAGGCGGGGGACGCGCCGTCGGTCGGGGGGACGTGCCGCTCCGAGGGCACCCCCAGCTGGTACATGCACGGGGAGCGGGCGCACTACTCGCACACCATGCCCATGCGCAGCCCCAGCAAGCTGAGCCACATCTCCCGCCTGGAGCTGGTCGAGGCGCTGGACACCGACGATGTGGAGCTGAAGTCGGGGTACATGAGCGACAGCGACCTCATGGGGAAGACGCTGACGGAGGATGACGACATCACCACGGGGTAAGTGCCTGCGCTGGGGTCGTGCCTGGACTGGGGCTCTCTAGGAGGTTTCCCAGGCGGTGGGAGACACCTGGCACAGTGGGGATGGGTGGAGGAGCATGCAGATCACAACCAGTCCGGCTGGATCGTGTCCCCACATCCCAGGAGATGTCTTCCCACTGCCACTGCTGCTGTTGCTGGGGGCAACTGGGACTTCTTGGGGCTGATGCCCCTCTGAGCTGGAATGAGCTGATCTACCAACATATGAGAAGTGTCTGGCTTGATCTGGATGTTACCAGAGTAGGGGGCTGAGAAAAGCACATGATCTGTGGCTGCAGGACCCTTGAGCCAAAGGCCTGCTGGGGTGAATGTTGCTGCTTTCAGAAATGCTCTCAACCAGTGAGTCAGAGCTGCTTCCTGCGACCCTGGCACTGTGGGGATGCCCTGTGGCTGGGAGTGCTGGTGGCCTGTGGTGGGACAGGCTGGGTCAGTTCTCAGCATCCCAGGGAGAAGTGAGCACCAAGGTGTCACTGCTGATGGGTGGCATTGTGTGGAGCAGAGTGTGCTGCTGAGCAGAGTCTCCTCCTTCTGGGACCCTCATCAGCCTCCATCCCTCCACCCACGGGGCTCGGGGCATCTTCTGCCAGATGGGCACAACACAGCACACCCAGGGCTCACATTTTCTTTCCAGATGTGTCCAGCTCCTGCTGTGCTGTTGAGGTTCCCCTGACTCTGGCAAGGGTCCAGGGTCTGAGCATGTTGGAGGTTTCCTGTTTCAGCACAGGAGATAAATAACTCAGGCGTTTGAGCTGTCCCAGAGCAGGAAGGAGGTATTTGGCCTCCTGACAGTGCTGCTCTGGCCCTCCTGGGGTGCCTGTAGTCACGTCAGCTTGGTACAGAATAGATCACAGCCCCTGACTTTGCGCACATCCTGGGGTCAGCACTCCCCAGATATGGCCTGGAGGCACGTGTTGCAGTTGTGCAGGGGACACGCTGTTTCTGCTGGCCTCTGCCCCTGCCATGCTCCAGCTCAGTGGTGAGAGCGTCTGTAGCACCGCGGGAGTCAGACCCGTCCTTCCCATAGGCATGTGGGGTTACCTTGGGGGCTGCCCTGGGGTTTGTGAACAGGGAAGCTTTGTGCTGGCTCAACATGGACTCTTTTGGAGATCGTAACCCATTGCCAGAGGTGGCACATGGCACATGTCGCCTTTTGCTGCTGGCCACTGGTCCGCTGGGTATGATGGGCAGTGAGGTGGATTTGGGCTGCCCTGGAGGGCTGGGTTCTCGTCAGGGCTGGCTGTGGGGATGAGGGGCTCCACCACTCCCCATCTCCCCCCTTGTCTCATATTGGTGCTGCTCATGCAGGCAGATGACCTTGGGGTGCCCTTGGCTTCAGAGGCACTGCCGGGAGGGGTGACCAGAGCATCATTTTGTCTCCATCAGCCCCTGAGCAGGTGGAATGTGGGCAGGGGGAGGGACCCACAGTGGCTCAGCCCTGCACTACTCCAGGCAGGATTTACTTCTCCTCTGGGAAGGGACAAGCTCTGGGGATGGAGCCCTGCATGGCTGAGCCTCTGAGAGGCCCTGGCAGCACCACAGTGCCCTGGTGTGGGTGAGGCTGTCAGTGGTGCTGCATGCCACAGTCCTTGTTCCTGCACAGAGTCCCCAGCATGATGCTCTGGATATGCCCCAAGTTCCCTGCTGTGCCGTGCCAGAGAGAGACTGGGTGCTCTGTGCTGGCTGCTCTGTGCTGGGTACCCCTCCCCAGGGTGGTAGCACAGGACCCCCTAATCTGCAGGGACATGTCCTGGGCATGAGCTATTTTGCTGGGATGTTGTGGGCATGCAGGGCTGTGTAGTGACCTAGTCACACCTCCATCCCCTATGGTCCTCTGTCCCCAGGGCATGGGTGCTGGGGGACACCAGAGTGCCTTGTCCAGGTGTCTGGGCAGTGGGTGCAGAGCCAGGGCAGGAGAGCAGGGGCATCCCCTCCTATCCAGAGCCAGGTGGGACAAAGAGCTGCCTTGCTGGCCAGGAGCACTCACCCTGCACAGCCCCTCATCCATCCCCCCCCTTCAGCCAGCACATCCCCTCACCCAGTGCAACCCCTCATCCATCCTCCCCTCATCCAATGCATTCCCTCACTCAGTACAGCCTATCATCCATCCTCCCCTCACCCAACGCATCCCCTCACACAGTGCATCCCCTCATCCATCCTCCCCTCACCCAGCACAGCCCCTCACCCAGCACAGCCCCTCATCCAGCTTCCTCACTGGCTCTGACCTAGAAAGCCGCCACCGCCCCAGGCCCCGTCTCCCGGTGCCGCTAATGCACCGGGCAGGAGCCGCGTGCTGCAGATGGGGCCGTCAGCCCCCAGTCAGCCCCCAGCCCGGCCGCGGGGCAGCGTCCCCTGCACGGCGCCGGCGCTCGCCCGGCTTGTAGGGCAGTAGGTCAGAGACGGCTCAGAGGACACGGTGACACGTCCCTGTTGGAGACATGTGGGGCTGTGGGATGCAACACAGCATCCCCATGGCTCGGCAGGGAAGCAGCCTGGAAGGAGCGAGGGCTGAGGTAGGTGAGGCACCGCCGGGGCAGGGGCGCTGCCTGTGGGGTGTTGGGGTGGATTCAGCTGGGTGTAGATTGGGGTGAGCCCAGTCAAGGAGGCAGTGGGGGACCTGGGGCCCAGCTCAGAAAGGGAGTGGGATAGTCAGGTTTGAGCAGGGATTGGCTGGGGACATCCAAGACCCCAACATCATTCCTGTGTCGGCCAAATGTGCCGGCATCCTGGCTCCTCATCCAACCATACCTGCGTCCGTCAGCCTGACACTTCTTCCAGCGGCAACCTGCAGCCGGTTTCAGGGGGTGGAAAGCCTGGCTTTGCCCCCCCAGTTTGGCAGCACATCCCTTCTTTTGTCCCTGGTGTCACCATATCCTCCTTGTGCTCTACAGCAGGGCAGAGACCTGGCACAGGGAATGCCCACCAGGATGCACCTCGGGGTGTCGGAATGGATGGAAGGAATGATGCTGCTCTTCTGCCCTGTCCTGTCTCTCCTTGGGGCCTGGACAGGGCATGGGCAGAGACAGCACCCAACCCTGGGCTGTTTCTCCAGCAGTGAAACATCTTTGCTCCCTTTCTTGGTCAGCTCTGATTCCCACTTGCCACCACTCAGTGGCTGCTTGCTGTTCCTTGCCCAATGCCTGTTCCAGGAGGGGTGTGGTGCCACCAGTGACACTTTCCCATCTAGGCTGAGGATGTTTCTTGGACACTGGAGGTCACCCCACCAATGTCACCCCACTGGGAGGTCCCCAAGGGACCTCTCTGTCTGCATGGCCACAGTGTGGGGCCCACAGTGCTGCAGCATGGGCACCTTTCTGTGCAGACCTGCACATGAACTGGGCAGTGGTGAGGAGCAGGAGCAGGGATGTGCAAGCCAGGTTTACCCTGGTTTTGCTCTGGCTATGCCCTGCATGTCTGAGCAGTGCCACCACAGAGCAGCTGCACGTTGGTGTGTCTCTCTTTGTGCTGTGTGTGCTCAGGACCTGACCTGTCCTGGGTGCTGGTGCAGCAGCACCCCCAGGTGTTCCCTGGGTCACAGTGGGGAGTGAGTGGGATGCTGTGAGGCTTTGCTGCAGTTGGAGCTCGTGGGGTGCAGAGGGAGTGAGCAGGGCTGGCTGCTGAGTCAGCTCCTGTTGCGGTTGCTGCGGGAACAGTGATGGTCTTTTGTGCACTGCAGGGCTGCGGCGTGGGGGCATCACTCCAGAACCAGTCCCTGGGGCTGTGCTGTCCCCTGGGGCTTCCAGAGCCCTGAGGGGGGAGTCTTTGTGTGACCCTGGGACCAGTGTGATTTGAGGATGTCCTTTTGACCTTGTTAGAGGTGGATCCCACCACAGCTTTGGCAGCAGCTGGTTAGCCAGGTACTGCCCTGACTCTGCTCGTGGGCATGACATGGAGCTGAGGCAGCAGCTTTTGGCATTGGGACTGTAGGGCATGTATGTCCAGCTCATGGCACACCTCATGGCACTGTCCAAAGCCACCGTGGTGGTGCTGCTGGCAGCCGGGTGCTGCAGGGCCTGTGGTCCCCTCCAGCAGGGCTGGGGGCTGCCAGCAGCACCCTCCTTGGAGGGATGCTCTGGAGCTGACACCCGCTGTGCTCGGGCTGGCCTGACTCTGGCTTCCTCACAGCTCCTCGGGCTTGGCGCAGCCCGGAGGCGGGAGCAGATGTTTGGCTTGGCTCCCCAAGAGCAGCGGGGGAGTGGCCGCCCTCCTCTCCTGCTCCGAGCAGGATTGGCGCTGGTGCCTGTTCCCTTCCCTTAAACGCCCCTCGCTCAGCTTTGGCCGGTCTGGGATGACCCCTCGCCCTGTCCCAGCGAGCCTGTGAAGTCATTTCTCGTCGGGGACATCCCATGGGGCACGTCTGTGGCCCTGCACGTGGCCTGGCGTGTGTGTGGGGCCCCGGCCTGGCCAGCTGGGGAGGGATGTTGGATAAATGTTTGCTGGGCTGTGCCGTGTGCCAGGCTTGACGGGTTCCTCCCATCTGGGGATGGGGGATGTTCCCAGAAGGGGGTCCCAGGACCCCGCTGGGCACCACCACCATTCCAGTGCCTTCCTCTGCCCTGCTCTTCAGCGGCTCTGTACCCTGGGGTTTGGATCCAGGTCTCCAGTGCTAAACCCTGACCCCCTGGGTCTGTGGCAGTGGCTGCACGAGGCATGTTTTGGGAAAGGGATTCTGGGCTTGTGGGACTCGGGGATTCAGGGCACCTGGGGGTCAGCACACGCCCAGGATGTGGGAAGCTGCTGGCTCCTGTGACTAGTTGGTGGGGCTGGATGCAGACACGGAGGTGCCGAGCCCGGGGCTTGACCTCGCACCCCCACGTGCCCTGGGGAGAGCTGCTAGGGGGAATCTGCCCCCCAAACCCACCTGCCTGTCTGCTTGCTGCCTGGGGACCTCAAGACGTGGCTTTACCACGTGCCACGTGCCACCCTACTGCCTGTTGGGGGGTCTTGCTGCTGTGAGCTGAGGT